TCAACCTCAACCCTCAATAACATTATACAGGACAGAGTGAAGTCGACACTAACACTGAGAAGAGAATATTGAAAAGCAAAAATGAACATACTATACAATATTCAGTACTGAATTTATTTAAGGTTTATTTTAATAAAAAATCTCATCATCATTAGATGTTTAGAGGGAAGCTTAAAAAGCTCACACAATACATAATACTGTACATATATCTACAATCATTAACACATGCCCCAGTCTCTTAACTGTTTATGGAAGTTAACACCTGCAAAACCTGCTTTTAATTTGTATAGACACGTTAGCAATAACAAAATAGGAATGTTCCTATCTCCCCTCCCATAATTTCAATCAGAATGTTCCAACAGCTTCAGTTTGTAGAAACAAAGTATATATTTTCGGAAATTTTTAATGCATTAGCCCCACATTAAATGTAGTAGCTATGTATGTCAAGAATTCCCCATCCATATGTTCTGATTTATGACATTAATTATCTCATCTAGATACTTTTAAAATGTCATCAATGAATTATACCTTAGCCAATATCAGTAAATAAGAATATGTCGCACAGAAACCATCACCAAATCATTAAAAATTGTTGTGTTAACATTGAAAGTGGGGAAAATAATAGCATAGCATGATGTATAAAGGTCAGTTTTATGCAATAAACTAGATTTCCAAAATGTTGACATTCCAGGATGTTTTTGTCATTATCTCTGAAACAGGACTTGAGATGAGTGATTGGTTTGGCTTGTCTTTGCCACAATATAAACTGCAAAAATACCTTTGGAGGGCCTTTCCAATATTCTGCCAACTAAATACCTTAGTTTGAAATAGTTGTTTCCAGTGCAGTACTGGCTTTGTTATGGGTGCCCTGCTGTGAAATATCAAGGAACCTCAGCGTCAGTCCATGAGTGCATACCTCCGTCCTGTGTATGAATACCTAACAATACGCAGGCCATGTATGATGAAATTGGCCATGAAATTCCATTATAAATGCTTATGGGTAAAGTCTCAAATTTCTGTGACCTTATAACCTTGTTTTTTTTACCTTTTCAGACAGACAGCACTGAATAAATAAATTCCTTTAGCAGAGTTAGTGAAACAGAAAGCCCTATTTTCTTCAGCCAATAGAAGACAGCATAATAAATGGAGGCTCTACATAATTGAAGATCACATGAACATGCGGCACAGTAATGCCAATCATAATAATTTTTTTTCTTAAATTTCAAGGTATTTTTTGTAGGTATCCATTTTGATCAATTCCAAATTTGTATGAAATCATCTTTAACAACATTGATTGTTGTTAAAATTATATATATAATCTATAAAGATACATTAGCAATATTCCACCTGATCTTACTGGAGTTTGATTAAAAAATAACTTGCATACCATCTTTACATCAAGTAATAACGTTTATCAAGTTGTTCCTGATTCTCAACTCATCTACAATTCCCCAGGCTTCCTCAGTAACTCCTAAATTTTAAGCCATCCTCCCACCTTTCCAACTGCCTCCCAACTAGTGACCCCCTCTCCCACTTCCAAATTGAACCCTCTCCTTCAGATTATCCCCCTCCCAACTGGAACTCTTCTCGACTAGCTTTTCAAGAGCATGCAGCTACCAAGTTTTGTGCTTCGATATACACATCTTCATTTTGTACGTGATAGAGGATATCAGCGAGTGTGTTCTCTACAGCTGACTGGCTAGCTGCATTCTGGATTGGTTCAAACTCAGCAACATCTGTAGGAGGGTACTTAAAATGAGGCCCAAAGTTGGCCACTACCTAAAAAAAAAATCAAATCATATTGGTAGTAAAGAGAATATATTCAACAGCTAACAAATCAAACTTGAAAAGTAGAGTTGAGTTTATTAAAACAATAATTTAAGCATTTTTGCCACAAATATGAGGCCAAAACAAGCATCAGTGACCAAAAAAAAAAAAGAAAATTGACTGTATTCTTATTCTCCACATTGAAAGCTTACTATTGCCAAAGTTATGATTAAAATTGATTATGGCTTCCTCCTCTGTATTATTAATATACAATACTGCCATATTCTTATGCTAGTTACTCAGTTTAATACTTAGCAATAGTACAATGGTTTTTGGGTGGCAATCCTCATGGTAAACAAATTGTACTTTCAACTGTATTTTTATAAAAGCGAGAATTTTGTTAAGTATTTTTTTTACAGAAATATATGGTAAACTGTTTATTCTTACCACTGCATTTTTGTAAGTTGAGATTGCTGGATAGTACGTTCCTTCATAGATGTCCTCCCATGCAATACCTTGACTCACACCATTTTTATAGAATATTATCTGTGATGAAATATAAAAGTCAATGATGAAGATAATATCAGCAATGATAACAAAAAAATAAATTGTTACAGTAATTAAAAGAATAATTATAGGTCACATTCTTGACGGTATGCAATATTATTATATACCTCGTATATGGATTCAGGCATCTGATTGGCAATAGAAAGTACAATTTCCCCTCAAAAATACTATTCCCCTAAAAAAATAGTATTTTTTTGCCCTGTCGCATTTGCAAACTCTAGGCCTACGGCGAAAGTGATTCGCCATTGGCCGTGCCAATAATCAGCGAGCAGACGATAAACCAGACCTGCCAACTCACCTGATCCTGTCAGGTGTCACCCGATATTTAAACAAATCTCCATTTCTCCAATCGAATTAATTTTCAAATTTCACAGGCCACCCCCTCTCCAAAAATACTCCGATTTATGCATAATTTTATTTGATTGATTTAATCGTTATTATTCAATGTACTGTGTCGCGGTGCAATAAACAAGCAGCCATTTTCAATTGGAATGTCATCACCAACGGCCAATGATTTGTAGTGACGTGACTTTTTTGGTATCTTGCATCATCTTTTGGTTAATTCTGGAGACGTCCAGATTTTTTGGTAAATTTCCAGATTTTTTTATGATTCTTAAAAAATCTCCAGATTTTCATGACCCGAGGGTTGGCAGGTCTGATAAACAAATATGGAGGCTAGGCCTAGTCGTTTGAGTTCCTGGATGAAGGACAAGCCTAGGCCTAGCATTACTTCTTGATGAAGCCGATAGCAAAAGCACCAAAAGACAAATTAAATATGTCTTGTCAATGTTGGACAAATATTGCAAGATGATGGGTGCTGTTGAAATTGAGGAAATGTGCAAAGAAGAGCTAGACACACTCTTTGATTGCCTAGGCTTGTATATAGGCCTCTAGGTTAGGCTAGAAAGCATGTATTTTTTAGGCCTCATAGAATCTATGTGGGTGATTCCATGTCAAATCAACCAGTTTCAGAACAAATCCCCAGGTGACCCCCTCAGATTTTAATGAAATTTGGTCAGAATGATGATATGTTGCTCATATGAACACATGCAAAATTTGAAAGTCATACTCCATGTCGTTTTTGAGATATGGCCGTTTGAAATTTGCTGGACTTAGTCATTTTATGCACTCGGTGAATCGTGAAAAGTGACATTTTGAATAATTTCGGATTTCAGAATGCCATATTTTAGTCTACAGACAAGACAAAGAGCTCAAAGTTGGCATTCTGACTTACTTTTTGCCAAATTTTATGAATCTGCACTCAAATTTAATGTATCATCTTTAGATTTCAAGTTATGATTGCCTAAAGTAGGGTCCAGAATGAGCGATTAAGTTTTTTTTCAATTTTTGGGGTGACCCTGAATGAAAACTAGGGGTAACATGGGCTCCATTCTACTTGCATATAATCTATGGTCACAGGACTACATCCAGAAGTAATAACAATCCCATTAAAGCTTTAAATCAGAAAATACAGAGTCCCAAAATGGGCCCCAGCCAGAAAAATCCTTTAAATGGCTCGACGTTCGTGACCCCGGATGACCCCGCGATCAGTTGAAATAATTTTTGAAACTCTAACCTGTCAAAGATAGGTATCATAGTAATATGTACACAAAATTTTAGCTTTGCTACTCAACTCCTTCAAGGTGCCTTGTCTGTTTGAAATGGAGCCATTTTTCATAAAATTTGACTTCAAGCAATGTGTATAAAGGGAAAAGGATACATTAATGTCTTTTAATATTTAACTTATAATCAGTCCATAAAAGCCAATTTCTATGGAATACACAAATGGCAAACTTTGAAAAACTTGCGATTAGTTACATTTGCATTCAGTTAGATTCTGTACATTTACATGGATGTCAAGGGTTCGCATCAAATGGTGGCCTGTATGGTTCTTTAGCAAAATTTATTGCGAAGTTGAGAACTCATGACATCGTATTATTATTAAGACCAACTTACTACAAGAAAGTTTTTAACCATTGATTATTTGCTGATGATACTCTTAATTTTGAGTCCCAGTTCCTCTACTTAATAAATTCTGAAAGTTTAGTTTTTAATCATCTTAAAATCTTCATTTGTAAGTTTGTAGTGGTGACCACCATGACCCATTAGCTGTGGAGCCGAAAGAATGCATATTATGTCTTGCAATGGTATCCAGCATTCATTGTATGTGTTCTGTTGCTAAGATAGAGTGTTGGATGTTCTTGCTCGCTTCATGAACTTGACATACACATCATTCTCCTCATCTGACCGCTCGGTGACCATACCAATGTACCACTCACTGTCATAAATGCAAGCAATATAACATCCAGGTTGACATTCATTGGCCACTATTTGATTGCTTACACCGGCATGGACACTGTTGATGGTAACAACATCACAATGCTGATCACTGGATAATCGTCGCATTTCAATATTTCCATCATCAGTTGGTATGAAGCTGTGATGTGACCTGGTTCCTGCAATTGTTTTGGAGGATGCAAACCTGTCACTAAGGTTATACTTCTCTGCATTGGCTTGAATGTCATCACTACTAACATATAGAAATTTAATTCCGGTGATGTTCCCATCAGCCCACTCAAACATCTGCAGTGGACTGAGAATTTGGTTCTCAACAGTAGCTTGGAGGCTTGCTCTGGCAACCAGCCTTTTTGTGGACCCCAAAGCCATCACACGGGCTCTTTCCATGACTGGTTGCGAAGAAATGCCATTCAGCAATAAGTCCATGATCAGATGAATGGTGACAGAGATTTGACATATTTTTGTGATTTTTATATTGGCTTGCAGCCCCATCACTGTAATATATGCATTTCCGCAAGCCTGGAATCTGATCCTTGGTGTAAGGAATCAAGTGAGAGATGAAAGCATGGACGGCTGTAGTATCATGCTTCATACAATCTGAAATCATAACAACGCTTATGCACTTCAGTTCTCCTTCCACATTATGATATACTGCAAATGGATGCACTGTGGCCTGACTATTATCCCAGTAATAGCCCTGTATAGCATCTTGAACGAGGAAACTGTAGTTTTCAGCAAAATCTAATAAGATGATAGCTGTGTCTGGTTGTAAGGATTGCAAGTATGAAGACTGTGATTTGGTGATGAAGTGATGGCTCCGTAAACAATCAACAGCATTACAAACTGTTTAAATATAATCATGCACTGAAGTTGTGAGGGTAACCAATGCAGTTCTATCAGTATGCATCCATTGCTTGTAAGTTACATTGTCATCCATATCCACTTCATTGGCAGAAAACAAATCTGTTAAGTAAATGCTCAATGCATTCTTACCTGGACAATTTTCACAACATTGCAACATGCAGTTGCGGTTTTCAGTGTTACACACTAGTTTACTGAGATAATCCTTGTAATCACACTTATCAGGAGAGACTGTCAGAAGTAGTTTCACATTTTGGTGCTGCTGACACACACACACAGAATGCATACCTGCAGTCTGCAGACTTTCATAGCGATCGAGATACACTTTATGATGATGGAAACATATGCTATAATCATCAGCCAATGTTAATCCACTTCTCCACTCGAGCAGTTTTTTGTCCTCATCTGATATCTGATTAACTGCAAAGAAGCCAGCATCGCGTCTCACAAAATTTTTCTTATGGCAGGAATCATTCAAATTTAAACCAATGCTGCATTTGGATAACTCGGATGATGTTCCCTCCATCGTGATGATCTAAATGTTGATATCTGAAGTATATATTCCAACACTATGCCTAATACAAATGTGTGTATAAAAGTGTGCTGCACCTTTAGACAAGATGTTCCTCTAGCTATCTCAAACTGAAATTACTCTTTATTACTTTGCAGTGATATGGACTGGATGAGACATGCAAATAAACCTATTTGAAAAACATGTCTGTACATGAGATAACTGTGACATCAATTGAATTGACAATGTTCAGTGTAACAATTAATAAACAATGTTTATCTTGGTATGTGTGGCATGATGTATGGTTTATAACAATTTACTTTAAAGACCCATGTTTAAAATAAAAAATAGTTACCATTGGTGTATGCAAACTTGTATGTTATTATTAATTAATGCAGACATTTAAACTAGTGAAAGAATATGTGCATACTGTACTGTACTAGACCTGTCTCTTATACTTTAAAGGATTTTTCTGGCTGGGGCCCATTTTGGGACTCTGTATTTTCTGATTTAAAGCTTTAATGGGATTGTTATTACTTCTGGATGTAGTCCTGTGACCATAGATTATATTCAAGTAGAATGGAGCACATGTTACCCCTAGTTTTCATTCAGGGTCACCCCAAAAATTGAAAAAAAACTTAATCGCTCATTCTGGACCCTACTTTAGGCAATCATAACTTGAAATCTAAAGATGATACATTAAATCTGAGTGCAGATTCATAAAATTTGGCAAAAAGTAAGTCAGAATACCAACTTTGAGCTCTTTGTCTTGTCCGTAGGCTGAAATATGGCATTCTGAAATCCGAAATTATTCAAAATGTCACTTTTCGCGATTCGCGAGTGCGTAAAATGACTAAGTCCAGCAAATTTCAAACGGCCATATCTCAAAAACGACATGGAGTATGACTTTCAAATTTTGCATGTGTTCATATGAGCAACATATCATCATTCTGACCAAATTTCATTAAAATCTGAGGGGGTCACCTGGGGACCTCTGGTTGATTTGACATGGAATGACCCATGTATGAGGTATATAAAAAAAATATTGTCTGCTCTAGATTCAAGGAATGGTGAAATATATTGCCCCGAGGTGATTTAGAGACCGTAGGCTATCTTCTCTCGGACCTTCGGTCTCTCGGGAAGATAGGCTAGTCTCCACATCACCTCGGGGCAATAAATTTCACCATCCCCTCATGAGCAGTCAATATTTATATATTTGAATATTGCAAACTTACACATTGTAGCAATTTTTTGGTCAGTTATGGTTCAGTATAGCTATTGCATGTTATAGTATTTTTTTAAAACTACCTATGGACTTGCAGTACATAACTTAAACCTCTATGCTGTCTGTCTGACTAACCTGACTTCCTTCAGCTTTCTGTAGACGTTGCTCAACTTCTTGAATTGGATCTTTCTCCTCAAAATACAGATGACTCTTGAACTTTATCAAAGCCTAGAAAAAAAATCAAATATAGAGATGTCATATTACACCCAAATATGGGCATATCACATTTTTCTGTAAAATAAAATTCAAGAGTGTGGACGGAGTTTAAGGCAATTCATGTTTAGTCAGTAGAATTCTTCTAATTTCCTTTCGCCAACCCTTTGGTGGTGCATGTTTTAGACAGCAGCATATCTATGATGATTTAAGTGCAAACACACTTCTAACCTAATCTTAAGGATGGGTAAATCTAAATTATAGCCAGCAAAATAAACATGTAGTTTACTTTAATTGTTCATATAAGCCCCTTAGGCTTCAAAATTATTAATTACATAAGTTGAGAAAAAAGTACAATGTTAGGTGGAAGTGGTTGGGTGCAGCGAGAACGATTTGGTTTCCCAACCTTGAGGTCATGGTTTCAATCTTCAATCCCTGTGAATTTCGCTTGTGTCCTTAAGCAAGGCACTTTATCTGCATTGCCTCTTCAGATGGTACAGTACATCAATCTCACAACAGTTAATTTGGACAAAAACTTCACTCTCGTATGTTAAATTAAAAATATGTTAAATTATAAATTTGTGAGTTGGTATTTAGCCATGTCTACTGCCCTCTATCTTGCAGTATGGTACAATTTGGCATGTAACCACAATTTACACACTGACATGCCAGTTGATCATTAGCTAAACACAT